ACATTTTTCTCTCGCTATTAAAAACCCCAAGACTGTTTTACTTCTCTTGCAACATTATTTCATACTCTGTGTATTTGGCCTAAAAAAAAGAGAACGGTAGTTAGGAATACATATACAATTATATTCAGAAATGAGGTACAAAATTCAGATAATAAAGAACTTCTTCTAGTATAGAATTTTTAATGGGAAAGAGAAAGTCACACAGCAAAGATATTCCTTTAATATCTATGTGTTAAAGCCATATGTGACTAGTTAAATTGAACAAAGCAACCAATTCAAGTTGTGGTTAGCACTGGAAAACAGAAGCCCTAAACTCAGCATGGGGGTGTTTTGGTTTGTTTTTTTTTTTTTATTTGTTTGTTTTATGGATTTTTTTGTGTGTTTTCCAGCATGTGCTCATTCCCATTGTAGTTACACCAGAATGATATATCTATAGTAAAGCTAGCTTGGGTACATATACATAAGCTGCAGTTACGGTCTCAATGCAGTGTAGGTATATCAGAAACTTCCGTAAGAATGCTGGCTAACACCATTTCTACTACTGTGGACAGGCAGAATCATTTAAGTCTTGGCATATTGACATTCCTCTGTACTTATCCCATAGCTCACCCTCATCAAGAATCACAGACTAAATGTTCTGCTACCAATGTGATTGCATGTTTTGTTATATCATATTTGAAAGTTTTGTTTATTATATTGTTCTTCTATCTCTGTCCACCAGTTACTTTTTTCACCTTTTTTTTTTAACAAGACAAAGTTTAGCCCAGGCCCTTTGGAAAAGACAATCCTTGCTAGGCAATAACTGATGATACAGTATATGGACTTCAGTTTCTCTTAAGTGTCATGCATACTGGAGTCATAGACATGACAGAAACTAGAGAGATGTGATTTCATTTACACATGATTGTGGAGTAGATGTTTAGACTACGAGGAACCATGGAAAAACTACTTACTACAACCTTAAGGAGGGCTACAAGGGTGTAGTCCTACTACAAGGACTACGAGGCTGAAGTGAGGTCATGCAGAGAGAAAATCAGAAGGGCTAAAGCCTAACTAGAATTTAAATTGGCCTACTCTGTGAAAGATAGTAAAAGATGTTTCTGTAAATATATTAACAACAAAAGGAGAGCCAAGGAGAATCTTCATCTTTTACTGGATGCAGAGGGAACAATAGTGACAAACGATGAGGAAAAGGCTGAGGTACTTAATGCCTTCTTTTCCTCAGTCTTAAACAGTAAGGTCAGCTGTCCTCCAGGTACTCACCCCCTGAACCAGAAGCCAGTAATGGGGAGCAGAATGAAGCTCCCACGATCCAGGAGGTAATGGCTAGAGACCTACTCAACCAATTAGACATTCACAAGTTTATGGGGCTGGATGGGGTCCAACTGAGGGTATTGAAGAAGCTGGCAGAGGTGTTCACTAAACCCTTTTCCATCATCTATCAGCAGTCCTGGCTGCCCAGAGAGGTTCCACTTGACTGGAGGTTGGAAAAGGTTATGTCCATTTACAAAAAGGGCTGGAGGGAGGATCTGGGGAACTACAGGCCTGACAGCCTGACCTCAGTGCTGGGGAAGGTCATGGAGCAGATCATATTGAGCACTATCACACAGCACACACAGGCCAGCCAGGTGATCAGTCCCAGTCAACATGGGTTTATAAAAGGCAGGTCCTGCCTGACTAACCTGATCTCCTTCTATGACAAGATTATCCAATAGTGGACAAGGGAAAGGCTGTGGATGTGGTGTACCTGGACTTTAGTAAAGCCTTTGATACCATTTCCCACAGCATTCTGCTTGAGAAATTGGTTGCCAATGGCCTGGACAAGCATACTCTCTGCTGGGTAAAAACTGTCTGGATGGCCGGGCCCAAAGAGTGGTGGTAAATGGAGTTAAATTCGGCAGGCCAGTCACAAGTGGTGTTCTCCAGGGCTCAGTGTTAGGGCCAGTCCTGTTTAACATCTTTATCTATGACCTGGACAGGTTGGATCAATGGGCTCTGACCAACTTTATGAGGTTAAACAAGGCCAAGTGCCGGGTCCTGCACTTCGGTCACAACAACACCATGCAATGCTACAGCCTTGGGGTAAAGTGTCTGGAAAGCTTCCTGTCAGAAAAGGACCAGGGGTGTTGGTCGATAGCCAGCTGAACATGAGCCAGCAGTGTGCACAGGTGGCCAAGAAGGCCAAGAGCATCCTAGTTTGTATCAGAAATAGGGTGGCCAGCAGGAGCAGGGAAGTCATCCTTCCCCTGTACTCAGCTTTGGTGAGGCTGCACTTTGAATACTGTGTCCAATTTTGGGCCCCTCGCTACAAGAAGGACACTGGGGCACTGGAGCATGTCCAGAGAAGGGCAACAAAGCTGGTGAAAGGGCTAGAGAACAAGTCTTATGAGGAGGGGCTGAGGGAACTTGGGTTGTTTAGCCTGGAGAAAAGGAGGGTGAGGGGAGGTTGTAGCAAGGTGGGTGTTTGTCTGATCTCCCAAGTAGCAAGTGATAGGACAAGAGGAAATGGCCTCAAGTTGTGCCGGGGAAAGTTCAGATTGGATATCAGGAAAGATTTATTCACTGAAAGGGTTATCAGGCACTGGAACAGGCTACCTAGGGAGGTGGTTGAGTCACCATACCTGAAGGTATTTAAAAGACATGTAGACAAGGTGCTCAGAGATATGGTTTAGTAGTGGTCAGGTACAGTTGGACCTGATGATCTCAAAGGTCTTTCCGAACCAAACGATTCTATGATTCTGTGATTCATGCATCACTGGCCCTGAAACACCTTCCAGGAATCTGAATCATAGTCTTCAGATGTCCAGGAATCTGAACTCATAGTCAGAATATAGTCAGTAATAAAGACTGATATCCACAGTTATAACGTGCCATAGAAAAGTAATAGACACCTCAGTGACACTGGGTATAGGAGAAGCACTTTATTTACACAGAAATGTTTTTCTTTTAAAAGTCACAGCCAACTCTGCTAACTCCATTAAACCTCACTAATTGGGATAGGAGGAAAGTGACAGAGAGAAGGGTCAACAAAGCTTGGTTTGTTCTTCTTATCTGTGGATTCAAAAGTCTCCAAGCAACACATGAAGAAAGAAGAGGGATTCTGTCAGTTCCTAGTTTCTGACTTCACTTTCAAAATCAGCTTATTTTCACATAAGAAAAGATCACTGAGCACCCTTTCCAGGTCATGGAGTAATGTCATTGCCACAGCTGGGGATTTGATGGATTAAAATTCTTTGGTAATCATAGGAAACAGGTAACACCCCATAGTGAAAAGAAGGATAACTCAAAAGAAAAGGTAAAAGTTCCTGCAAACTTGACACAGGAGCAGATCCTCTTTTATCCAAAAATCTGGACCTTAGTTTAATTCCAAGTAAAGGAACAAAGCTTTCTAAGAAAAAAAAATATTCAAAGCCACTGAAGAAAAGCTGTTCTCAATAGTAAATCAGCCACTTCTATAAGAAGTATCAGTTGGCCAGATGTTTTTCAGAGTATAAAACAAACTTGATTATCTTTGCATTAAACCAGGAGGTGGATGTGGATTCTAAATGTAGCTTTGATAACAAGCTCTCTTTGTGATGTTAAGCAAAACACTTTTTCCAGTTTCTTAGTTCCATGCCTTACAGCAAATTTGTTGTTTTATATTTATGAAATGATCAAATATTACAGCATT